TTATTTATGTGAATTAGCTATTCATTCATATAAAACTTACGATTTTTACGATCTTTTTATGTTTCAGAGTTATTATAAGATTTGCTTTTGTTGTGAAACTTGTGAAGCACTCGTTTCCAAACAAATAGTACTGTTTTAATTCAAAAGTGAGTCTTTTAAAGAAACTTTTAGTTAGGATCTGAATGAACAGTTAGCCTTAACTCCAAAATAGGCCAGTCATGCATATCCAGTGCTAAACTAAACACCTTTTTATTCGATATAATAGTATTGCTTAAGAATCTGAATGAGGCTATCATAGTGAGGGCATTCACTTGACTTACACTTTGTTTTCATACAATATTTTCCAACATTTTTTTCCTAAGTTAATCCTAAGTTTTCACACATTTTCTGCTCTCGTATTGAATAATAAATTTAAATAATTGTGTAGAAAATAGAGATCTATTTATGACTTATCCTTCTTATGAGACGGAAGGCAAACACACTTTCATTTGAATCCAAATTCTTATTAAAAACTCATTCTTTTAAAGCAGTGAAGCGTTCGCTTCTTTCACAACATTTTAAACCCAATTATGAAATGCATTGTAATCTCGAAAAAAAAGTAATTATAAATATTATTTTGAATATTTAATACAATTAGTGAGGCGTTAGAAATATTAATGCAATTTAAAATAAATCATATAATACTCTAATCATTTGAATTGTATTAACATTTGAATTTTTGATCCTATTTTCCCTTCAGATTGTGTTTCGTTTCAATTGCTTTAAAAACATAGTATTTATGAAAATAATAATTGGTTTACAATTATATTCAATCCATTTATTCAGATATAAAACACACGTTATATTAAAATTTGTTTTGTTTCATGCAACGGGTATATAATCTTAATTAAATTAACCAAAAATAAGACAATTTTTAAAATGAACTAATTTCTGTTATTATTGTTTGTTTGAAACGAGACTTTTATGTAGTATTTCCTCATAAATACAGCGTATAAATGCCGGTAATTATTATTATGGAGAACTGTATTCAGCATATGAACTGTCAATTAAAACTGAGGGGAAATTGAATTAAAGATAATCTAATCTATCAATTATTCGACAATTCAATTGATTCTTATCTCATATAACGTGTCATAACTTTATGCTCATAATTGTACTCATTTTAGCATTCAGTTAGCGTTCAAAGAATTTTATTTCATTGCAGCGCTAGTTTATACACTATTCAATTAAATTGAGATTAATTTCTACATCTCATGCTAATCTAGTGCCTCCCTATCTATCGAAATTAATTCAACTTATATCTCGACTCAAAATTTAATTATTTCATTACTATTTATGTTATAAATAAATTCAGATTAAATTTAAATTTATTTTTTAGGGGCTATAAAGTGACTTGACAGTCAACTCACGATTTATTTCATACAAATGTCTATTAATATTCAGTATTATAATTATGATCACAAATATTGCATTGGCTTTCAGGATGATATTTTAAATTTAAATCGTCAAAAAGTACTCGAAATGTATGATTTGAATAAATAATTAGTTGAGAAATCATATAATTATTGCACAGATTATACTATACTATACTATAGTCTATAGGAATGTATGAGTGTTCCTGTTCTGTCATATATCACACAATATATCTGTATATGGATTACAGGAATATATTATTTGTTTAACGAATTGCAAAACAATTGCTCACAAATTGTTAATTACGAAACGCAAAACTAATTCAAATGATTTTTTGTCCTAATCTACAAAACCATTATTCATACAGTTTTCGGTTCAGTTCATTGTCCTATAAAAGGATATATTGTTTAAAATTCACTTTTTTGAATGAAGCATACAATACAAGTATCAATTGGTTGTGTGAATATAAATGTGAACGATTTGTATGTTTTTTGAGTGTTTTGTTTAAATGCTGAGTGAATTTAAACAAAAGGAAAACTCGTTTTTATTATTTTTTCCAAAAAATTATAACCAAAAAAATGACACAAAAGATTGCCTTCTGATGAGAAGAATAGTCTTATAGACAAGAATCTCATGTTTTTCTTTCGTTTTCTTGACATTTCAGTTGACACTACAGTTCAACGATTCGATGACAAAGACTTTTGAATATCCATCGGAAGCGTCTCTACTCCAAGAGATGGGTATTTCAATGTCTGGCGACGACTTAGACGATAGCAAAAGTGAAACAAATGAATCTGTGATACAATCGGAGTCTAATAATGCAAATACCAGTTTAAATACACTGAAAAACAATTTGGCGCTGGGAGGCTCACAGGGTAAGAATCTGACTTATGTTATCACTATTATGCTAGCATTTAAAATCATTTAAATGTAACACTATGTCATACGAGTACTATATTTTATACAATGTGTGAGAGTTTTTATGTAATTACAAATTAGTTTTGAATTTCTAATTTAAATGAATTATATATTAATGAAACGCTTATAAAGTTTGTCTCAATTGACTCGCAGGTAGTTTGGGGTCATATAAGCCCACACTAATTGATACGCCTTTCGAGTTGGGGGTCTCGAGGACTCATAAAACAAACGCAGAGATCATCGCAAGTGATGTCAACTCATCCACCAATTCAGACGAAACGGATTTAATAAAACCAGCCAATCCTGATGAGACCAGCTCCTGGTCCACCAGTTCCACCGCTTCAGACCTATTGTTTTAGTGACCATTACTTTTCTCTCCCATTCCTTAAGCTTAGTCTGAGATATAAAATCATATTTATTTTAAACTCAAACACTGATTATATAAATATTATTATTATTTACATATAATTTGAAATTAAAACAAACTTTTATGCCATCATTCCTCACATAATATATCACTCGTTATAATGAATATTCAATTATTAAATCAATTATTTATTTTTTTATAAAAGTTTGAAATTTATTTTTTTAAATAACAAATTGAGACACAATTTAAATGTTAAATAGCATTTGAAATCTTTAACATTTTATATTCTTATTCTGTACTGTATTTTAAATATTCATATATTAATGCTTATAAAAAACACAACATTTATTTAATATGTGATAAAACCAATAAATTCGTTGAATGAATAAACTGTTGATTTTTACAGTAAATCAAATTTGAAATGCAAATTAATTTCACGAATGAATTAACATTTAATTTTAAAACATGGCTCATAATTATCACTTAAAACAACTTATAATTTATAAAAACTAGTAATTGATTCAATTCAATGTATATAAAAACTTAATTAAAAGTAAAATATAATTCAATGATTAATATATAGATATAAATGACAACTAAAATAGAGAATTGAGTTCAGAGTGAAGTACAAGAGTAGAGTCCCGGCCCACAGAGTATATGGATTTGTTGTGTTCAGTGACATCCCGTATCCAATCCTTATGCAGACTTTGGTTATAAACACATTTGAGGTCTTCTGTGTCCAACACTCGCAGGTAATTATCATCACAACAGACGGCGATTGCGTTTCCATTGAATATATTCTTAATCTTATGGACTCTATTGGAGGAGACGGTGAATGCCATGACCTCTGGTCCGGGCATTCGTACATCAAATTGCTTCACTTCTCCGCAATCGGTGCCGATATATACCGTCGATATATCTTTGGCTGACCAGCAAAGGGCTGTCGGGTCTGACGATAAGGTGGCCACTCGTGAGGCAGGTTTGGCTTTAGTTAAGTCCCAGAGGAGGACCTGTTTGTCGCGACCGCACGACAAGACCAGATTGTCGTCGACTGGACTGAACTCTGTGTCCCAAATGGTGTCCGAATGCGCGTAATTGTAGCACTTCTGCGGCATAAATGTCACCAAATCTAACACAAGAAGAGTCATATCGTAACCACAACTAACAGTCTTCGTCTCCAATCGGTTCGCGTGGAGACCAGTGATGACATCGTCGTGATAGATGACAGCCATCTGCTCCTCGAGGCCTTCGTTCAGAAGAGAGATGTGTCCGGAATCGAAGGCACAGATCAGTCGCTTGTCTCGCATTGCAATCACATTACAAATACCGCCGAAGTCTGGACTCAACGATAGGACCGGCAGTTGTGGCACGTCTTCGATGCGCTCGTATTTCGTGACGAATCCCGACGGATGTATGCCTTCCAGAGTGTCCGATGCGATCACCACTGAGTCGTCGCTCAAGATGTGAATGCATTCAAAGTATTTGCCGAAAGCTTTGCCATTGTTTTCATTGTCTTCTATACCAACGAGTGCTTCGTTTTGGTCACCCATTAGGTCGCTGTTTGGCATTAGTATGGACTCCACCTCATCCCTCGGCAGGTGATGTATGGACGACATTGTCGATGGTCTACACGTCGATCACCACAAGAACTGACGCTATAATCACTGAATGGTAACTAAATTTGAATCAATAAATGAAAGACCAATTGATTCGTAAAATGTGACAAAAATACACAAACAAAACAAAACACTCAATGCTTTCAACGCGTTATTCATTACATTATTTGTGGACAACAGCCAAACAACAGCTGATTTCGGGACAAAACTTTCAGCAATTGATTCAATGATTGCTTTCACTGTAAGCAGAGTTTCACTTATGGTTTGGTTTTATATTTTGCATTTCGTGTCAAATTGAGTTCACTTTTCAAATGAATTCATGTTTTGTTTCGCAAATTGTGTGGAAATATAAACTGAAAAATGTGTGAAACGTGTGAATCATATACAGAGAGGCAATGAAATTGTGGCCAAAAATGTCTACAAAATGATCGATTGATTTGTGGTTTCAATGAGTGTTTGAATGAAGTATTGATTGCTTTGAATGGATATGAGGTTAAAGACGAGCAAATGGTTTGGCCGAAGAAGTCGACCCTTCATTGTACTGCTATTCCTCTTGTGTCTGGTTGTGGCCCATCTCTTCGGTCTATTCACACATCCGTTTGAGATTGACTTCCACTCCAACTTCAGTTACCCTTTAGATTTGGATCAGTTTCGCGATGTCGTCGAAGTCCTCAAAGCCAGACATTTTGACCACGACTTGGATCTCAACCCAACTCTCTTGCAGTCGATTCCCAAACCAATCAATGAATACAACTATAGGTTTATTGTGAAGAATGAGAAGAAGTGCTCAAAAAGTGGTTCAATTGATGAACCAATCCATGACAAGACGAGTGGTAGTAATGTATCACAAGTGAGACAATCAGATGACATAACTCTGTTGATTGTGGTGAAGAGTGCCCTCGAGAACATGGACTCGAGGAATGCCATTCGCAAGAGTTGGGGATTTGAGAAGAGATTCTCAGATGTGACCATCAAAAGAGTGTTCATTTTAGGCAATTGTGTCGATAGGAGTGATGTTCAGAACTGTCAGGACATTGTGGACGACGAGATGAATGTCCACAAAGACATAGTTCAGGCAGACTTTGTTGACTCTTATTATAATAATACCATCAAAACAATGATGGCTTTCAAATGGTGTGTCACTTACTGTTCCGGCGCTCAGTTCATACTCTTTGTTGACGACGACTACTATATTTCTATTAAGAATCTCTTGAAATATCTGAGAAATCCATTCAAATCTTTGTCGACAACTGATTCCAACTCAATCCAAGTCGACACCAATACTCGCTTCGATGGCCGCCTATACAGCGGTTATCTCTTCCCCCAATCTTCTCCACTCAGACATAAGACAAGCAAATGGTTTGTGACTCTCGAGGAATATCCGTATTCCTTATATCCTCCGTACATAACAGCCGGTGCTTTCGTATTGTCCAACACATCGCTAATAGACATGTATTTCGCTTCCTTTTACACAAAACACTTTCGTTTTGATGACATTTATGTGGGAATATTGGCGAAGAAGTTGTCTATTATTCCCAAACATAACCCGAACTTTCATTTCTGGACTCTAAGCTATAGTGCCGTCACTTTCGAGGAAGTGATTGCTTCCCATGGCTTTCGGGATTCAAACAAACTTCTCATTTCTTGGAGCCAACAGAAGAGTTTAGGATTCGCTTAGAATTAGATCTGATTTTTAGATTAAGTTTCAATGCAATTGTTTTATACATTAGAAAATCAATTTTATTTATACAATAATAGATCTGATATTTAAGTCGATAGCAAATAAATTAAATTTATTAATTAACTATGAATTGAAGTCATAAATTTTACGTTTATTTTAATATATAAATAAAAATCAATAAAATATTAAGTTTGTGATTATTGTAGTATTTCTGTACAAGTATTAGAAATTGTAATTCAAATGTACTGCAGTTTGATTGCATAACACAATTGTAAATACAATGAATAAAAAGCAATAAACACGGACTGAAAGACCAAACAAATGAAGTGTTTTCTGAATGGCATTCAATTTAAATATACACTTAATTATTGGGAACAGTAGTACAGAATCCTGAAGAATATCCGCAAACTAAGAATGAAAAGTGAATTCATTTGAAAGAATGAGTCATTCGGTGACATCTGTTGAGAGAAAGCACTTCACATATGATAACGTGTTTTGGTTTTGTTTATGATTTGGTTGTTTGATGTGAAAAGTGGTTGAATGGACCGACAGGACCATTATTTATGTGAATTAGCTATTCATTCATATAAAACTTACGATTTTTACGATCTTTTTATGTTTCAGAGTTATTATAAGATTTGCTTTTGTTGTGAAACTTGTGAAGCACTCGTTTCCAAACAAATAATACTGTTTTAATTCAAAAGTGAGTCTTTTAAAGAGACTTTTAGTTAGGATCTGAATGAGCAGTTAGCCTTAACTCCAAAATAGGCCAGTCATGCATATCCAGTGCTAAACTAAACACCTTTTTATTCGATATAATAGTATTGCTTAAGAATATGAATGAGGCTATCATAGTGAGGGCATTCACTTGACTTACACTTTGTTTTCATACAATATTTTGCAACATTTTTTTCCTAAGTTAATCCTAACATTTCACACATTTTCTGCTCTCGTATTGAATAATAAATTTAAATAATTGTTTAGAAAATAGAGATCTATTTATGACTTATCCTTCTTATGAGACGGAAGGCAAACACACTTTCATTTGAATCCAAATTCTTTTTGAATCCAAATTCTTATTAAAAACTCATTCTTTTAAAGCAGTGAAGCGTTCGCTTCTTTCACAACATTTTAAACCCAATTATGAAATGCATTGTAATCTCGAAAAAAAGTAATTATAAATATTATTTTGAATATTTAATACAATTAGTGAGGCGTTAGAAATATTAATGCAATTTAAAATAAATCATATAATACTCTAATTATTTGAATTGTATTAACATTTGAATTTTTGATCCTATTTTCCCTTCAGATTGTGTTTCGTTTCAATTGCTTTAAAAACGTAGTATTTATGAAAATAATAATTGGTTTACAATTATATTCAATCCATTTATTCAGATATAAAACACACGTTATATTAAAATTTGTTTTGTTTCATGCAACGGGTATATAATCTTAATTAAATTAACCAAAAATAAGACAATTTTTAAAGTGAACTAATTTCTGTTATTATTGTTTGTTTGAAACGAGACTTTTATGTAGTATTTCCTCATAAATACAGCGTATAAATGCCGGTAATTATTATTATGGAGAACTGTATTCATAACTGAATACTGCATTTGAACTGTCAATTAAAACTGAGGGGAAATTGAATTAAAGATAATCTAATCTATCAATTATTCGACAATTCAATTGATTCTTATCTCATATAACGTGTCATAACTTTATGCTCATAATTGTACTTATTTTAGCATTCAGTTAGCGTTCAAAGAATTTTATTTTATACACTATTCAATTAAATTGAGATTAATTTCTACATCTCATGCTAATCTAGTGCCTTCCTATCTATCGACATTAATTCAACTGATATCTCGACTCAAAATTTAATTATTTCATTACTATTTATGTTATAAATAAATTCAGATTAAATTTAAATTATTTTTTAGGGGCTATAAAGTGACTTGACAGTCAACTCACGATTTATTTCATACAAATGTCTATTAATATTCAGTATTATAATTATGATCACAAATATTGCATTGGCTTTTAGGATGATATTTTAAATTTAAATCGTCAAAAAGTACTCGAAATGTATGATTTGAATAAATAATTAGTTGAGAAATCATATAATTATCGCACAGATTATACTATACTATACTATAGAGTCTATAGGAATGTATGAGTGTTCCTGTTCTGTCATATATCACATAATATATCTGTATATGGATTACAGGAATATATTATTTGTTTAACGAATTGCAAAACAATTGCTCACAAATTGTTAATTACGAAACGCAAAACTAATTCAAATGATTTTTTGTCCTAATCTACAAAACAATTCGTGCGACCAATAGATCCATAGCTCAACAGAAATCATCGCAACAATTATCTGTCACCTCTTCTCCAGCCATTAAATCTCAGTCATCACTGCCTGATTCAGTGCCCGCAGTGTCTCCCATACCTCAAGTGATTCACTCGATCCCCACCCCAACTAATCGGATGACTGCTGTTAATAAGCCATCGGTTGTCGGGGATAATGATAGCAATAATAATACCAATAATAAAAGTGCCAATAATTGCAACACCAGTTCCAACTCATCCCCATCGGTGCGAAAGCCTCCCATCGCTCCCAAACGGGCCTCACTCACAATGAAAGCCAATTTAGGGACAGGTATGAGCGCTACGGCTATTAATAAGCTAGCTAAAACTAATGGCACAATCAATACTAATGCTTCGCATAGTAGTAATAATAAAGTTTTCAAATTCATGAATAATAATCATTTGAGTATTTCTGCAGAGACTAAGACTGTGAGTGAAAAGTCTGTGAAAACGGCTGCCGATGGCATCGATTCTGTAGTTCGCGATTCTCGTGACACTTCTTCAGGTGTTGCGATGAATGGCACTAAAGAGATGTCAGGTGTCGGTGCTAACAATAATCACTCAAACGCCACAAACAGCACATTAGAGTCAACTGAGAGCTCAACAAATAAATCAAAAGTCAATAAACCGATCGCTAATATCAAACCTTTCACTCAAAACAATCAAACCAACGATGGCTTAATGATGGAAAGTCTTAATGATAGCCAATCTCCTAATGAAGAACAACAACAGAGTGAATGCCATTTGGGTCATGACATCGACAGAGATAATGAGACATCGACTTCACATAACAAGACTCGCGTCATTGACAATAATATTGTAATTAATAATAATAACAATAAAAGTAATAAAAATGATAACGAAGTGAACGGAACTATAATTTCGAGAAGAATTACGAGCGAAGAGTCAGTCGATGACAACCAGTCTATAGTTAATGATGAAAATGTTTGCGGTTTAAGTACACTATCATTACAGCTATTTTCAGTTAGTTTACAGTTAGTGTTGGTAGCGTAGCTGCTGGTGAGATACTGTGTCTGTTGCCGACTACATAATTTCGGCTCATAAAACAACTTGTGTGAGAACAACTCATCGACCAAGTCTCCCAACAGTTCCCTCTGGACTCAAGAGACCAAAAAGGCTAACAACTCGTCCGCCAATTCCATGGTATTTGACTTCCGAGGCAAAGATGTCAAGTCAAACCTAGCCGTACAGCCCACGCCTTTCGGAGTCACTCCGATTAAGAGACCCCTTCAGAACGGAACGGCAGGTGATAGTGAAGACGACGACAACTATACCGGTTCCACAGATATACCCGCGCCGTCGGGCATCAAATTTGTTGGCGAAAACATAAGGGTTGGCAAGGGATCCATATTAGCCAAGAGGAATAAAAAAGTTAGTTTTCTGTACTTTTTGTTGTAATTATTTGCTCCGAACATTGAATTATTGAATTCATTGTTGTATTGGTTTCCATATCATTGCCAGTATTTGAACGACATATCAGTTACTTAACAAAAGGTATTAGTGAATGCTGAGTAATAAATTGCAATACTATAGCGATTATGATTTGTGACTAATTTATGTCACAATTCACTGAAACTTATTATCAGGTACGCCAAATTCATGTGATAGTAATGTCGATAAAAGTCAATCAAATGTCAATCACAACCATCGCATCGACGACCACTCTATGACACAGACAACGGCTGATGTATTAAAGCCGAGTATTTTGTTGAACACAGAGAACAACTCATCGACGAAGTCTCCCAACAGTTCCCTCTGGACTCAAGAGACCAAAAAGGCTAACAACTCGTCCGCCAATTCCATGGTATTTGACTTCCGAGGCAAAGATGTCAAGTCTAACCTAGCCGTACAGCCCACGCCTTTCGGAGTCACTCCGATTAAGAGACCCCTTCAGAACGGAACGACAGGTGATAGTGAAGACGACGACAACTATACCGGTTCCACAGATATACCCCCGCCGTCGGGCATCAAATTTGTTGGCGAAAACATAAGGGTTGGCAAGGGATCCATATTAGCCAAGAGGAATAAAAAAGTTAGTTTTCTGTACTTTTTGTTGTAATTATTTGTTCCGAACATTGAATTATTGAATTCATTGTTGTATTGGTTTCCATATCATTGCCATATAAACTTGCTGTATAGTCAATGAATTGTTTTCCATAATCACTTACGACTCATTATTTAACGTTATGATATCGCTAATACTAAACACTGATTAAATACAGTGTTAAGTGACTTTGAATAATAGTCCATTTTGTGATTAACTAAAAGCCCTTTTTTGAGGCTATCTTTTTCGTAGCCTTTTATTGTCATTCAATTGAGTGGAAATAGTTTTCAAATGTTTTTCATTATAAAAGATATTTTTTAAGTGAACACAAAACTATAGCTTAACTCAAATTGAGAAATAAAGTTATTCTGTACTACAGTGTGTTTTCTGAAGGAAATATAATAAATCAGTGAAGCCTTTAGTATTTATTGTGAATTGAAGCCTTTTTTCAGTCATAATTAAAATGATATTTTTTTGAAGCAATTTTTAAGCCTCAAAATGCCATTCACTTCCTATTTGGTTAAGTTTTTCTTTTTAGTAGTAATTAAGTATT